TGGTGTTTGTGTTTTAGTTAAGGAAACCAAATTCCAAATTTCCATTTTGTGAGATTACTGTTCTCAAAAGAATCATCCAAATAAGATCATAATAATTTTAGGTATAAAAGTAAACATAATCTGTTTAATTGTTTGACTTTCAATGAACAAATATTTTCTAAAATCACTTAATTTTTTAAAAAAATGTTCCCAGGTCTGCAAGTCCAACGACGAATGCAACTGTACTGATGGCTACTTGCCTCCGAATTGCCAATCGCAGTCCCGGGGATGGGCCAGGGAAGAGGGCAAGTACCTATCTATTATAAATAGCCACTTACTTAAGCCCTCAAATTGCTTATCTTCAATAAAATGAAGTTAGATGTTTGCCACTTGAAAAGAGCCTAATAATAATTGTATCTAAATGGTCATCAGACTTCTGTCAAAGAGTGTGAACCAAATATGCCTTCATCCTATTGCTCTTTTTTCCTAAACGTTAAAATGTCCCAATTAAAGCTGCTCATCTGGGTAAGTCTGTCTTCTCTTGTTGACTTTCCCCTTTAGAATAATTATCTTACGGAAGTGCCAGCTGTATGGTTGATCCTGACATTTCAGCTCTAAGCATTAATTGCATTTTCTCTGTATCTACTCATAATAGTATAAGTTGGTCAAAATATATGATGGATGTTTAAATTTTTAAAAATTATCACAGCAAAAGACACATTATCATTAAATGCCTTCAAGATGCTCTCCACTCACTTTAAACACACTCATCCCATTAGTCTTGCCATTTCCTGAAGCAGCTCTGGAAGTCTTCTTTTGTGAGTCTCTTTATAATGAAGTGTGACACAATGTCTTCAGCAGCCTTATTCACTGGATCTTTCAACATGTGACTTCTGGCTCTTTTGAGAGTCAAAATAACTATGAAAGGCAATACTTTAAATTAATTAAAGACAGTGCGTCAGCAACACTAGTGCCCATGAAGACATGCCTGAAAGAGGACTTCCAGAACTTCAAAACAATGAGATACGTGTTCCACATGAACAGGATGGTTCTGAGAGGGATTAATGTCAATACATCATTTCTGTAATAAATTTTTGGAGTTTAAACATTGTTAATTCTTTCAACCACTCACATTTTTGCTATAGAAGAAATTAAATGAAAGATATGAGTTCAGTCTGAAAGAGTTGATAGTTTTAATGAAAACAAGCTTTAAGTTGCAACTTGAGAGATGACAGGAGAAATCCTGGCACAATATTCTGCTTTTTCACTTTTGACTTCAGTTTCTTTCATTCATGAATCTATTAAGTTAACAAATATTTATTGAACTCTTCATATATTCCAGGTACTGGTCTAAGAACTGAAGATAGATAATAAAACAAAACCTGTGTATCTCTTATAAATTAAGTCTATCCCTACATACCTAATGCTGATTAGTGTCCAAATTAGGAATCAAGTCTCCTAATTTCTATGCTAGTGCTCACTTAGTAGCAAAGCAGTGGTTCCATATAGAAAAATACCAGTCTATAATCAAAAGTTCATAATGTACCAAATAGAAATGAGAAATAAGCAAGTCTGATGAAATTCTCTGACAAACCCAATCCTGTGAAAGTCTTGTGACAATGCAAATTTGGGTAATCTTGTGATTATATCATCCCACGTTATATCATTGATTTTAGGGGACCCACGTACAGTCTTATAATAAGATTTTTCTGTAGCTGCTGTATCATGTAGAATACTCTTGAACTTTTTGGAGCTTTGTTTCCATTTTTCAGCTACCTTGTTTTGACAAAGGGGCCAAAAACATTTGCTGAAGGAAAGATATTCTATTAACAATTGGTTCTGGGAAAAGTGGCTACGCACCTGCTGAAGATTGAACCTAAATCCATATCTCTCACCATGCACTAAACTAAAGTTGAAGTGGATCAATGATTGAAACATAAATACTGCTGGAAGATGGAATAGATAAATCAATTGAAGATTTAGTTTTGTGAAAACATGTTGTAATCAAAATTTTGGTTTCAGAGAAAATAAAGGATCAAAAAATTGGGTCACATCAAATTTTAAAACTGCGGGTATTCTGCACTGAGCTTCTGTAGTACCCAGTGGGCAGATATGGTGGCAGCTTTTTGCCAGGTGGCCAAGTCCTGGTAGTGAGAACACCGATAGCGAAGACAGCCTGGCTTTCAAAAACATTTGGGCCTGTTGGAGAAAAAGAAAGGTTATACAGTTTGTACAGATGACTATCATAAAAAACAAAGAGTTCCTCAAAGCTCTTTGAAAGAAAGTTCTTGAAAAAAATCCAGATGAATTCTACTATAAAATGACTCCAGGATGGAGTTCATGTTATTAAGAACAATAAAGAAGGAGTAACTCCAGAACAGCTAAAGCTAATGAGAACTCAGGATGCCAAATACTTAGAAATGAAAAGGGTTGCAGAAGCTAAGAAAATTGAAAGATTAAAGTCAGAGCTCCCTCTGCTGGATTTCCAAAGAAAGCAGCAGAATGAACTTGTTCTTTTTTGATATCACGAAAGAAGTTGAATGGTTTGATATTAACACTCATCTGCAGACAGTCCCAGAACTAGCTGGCAGAGTCTTTAACAGACCCAAGATGGAGACCCTGCAGAAGGAAAAGTGAAAGGAGTTACACATTGACTTGATTTAAGCGGATAGCTAAAGAAAGACAAAAGCAATATGACTGCCTGACACAGCAGATTGAATGAGAGAAGAAATTATTCGTTATTGCACAGAAAATCCAAAGCTGCAAGGATCTTATGGATAAAACTCTCAGAAAGTGAAGGTGAACAAAGCAACAGTGAGTGCCCCAGCCATTTACAAGTTTCAGAGTTGTTGGAAACACTGAACTATTATAGATAAGTCTTATCATTTGCATCAAAAAGAATTCAATTTTTAGTAATAACTTCAAATTCTATTAGTTCAGATGAGATCAAGCATATTCAGAGTGGCATGGCCATAGACCTATTAGTTCAAGTGGCATGGCTTTCCTATTTATAACCATGAGTCACTATTGATGTCTTTCTATGAGCAATATTAAAGCCCCTTCCCTATGTCACTGTTTTTGGTTTGTCAAGTCTTATTTTTTATACAGTACTTACATTTTTTTCACTATGGAAGTTCTATACCATTACAACTAGAAAATAGATGAATTCATTTCTAATTTTAATACTTATTCAAGAAGAAATAAATATTGGGTGCTGGGAGCTACAACTACTGAGGTAAACCATTGTAATCATTCTGTTTCACTTCATTTTATAAAGTTGTGCAGTAGGTTTTATATTTTTGTGTTTTGTAGCTATAATTTTAATAAACAACTTTACATCCCCCAAAATTTCTTTGTACAACAAAGAAAGCTACTTACAGGCTGAAGGAAATATTTTTGACAGCTACCCTTTCACTAATATGTATATTATCTGAAATCTCAAAAACTTCTCTAAATTCCCCAAATTTAAAGACCCAAACAAAAAACAACATCTAAAATGTATAAATACTTCTCAGATGAAGAAGTATAAAGGGCCGATAAGTACATTGCTGGCTATTTGAAAATTACAAATTAAAACAACATTGTAATTCCATTTTCAGCCAGAAAGAATGGCTGCCATTAAGAAATTAGCTAATA